TATAAGCAAAATTAAAAATAAATTAAATAAACCTACTCTAATTGACCTGTATTATTCATTAATCTTTCCTCACCTCATCTACTGCAACGTAATTTGGGGAAACAGTCCTGACATTCATCTAAAACAGTTAACAAAATGCCAAAACCGATTCATCAGAATATTTAAAAATCTTCATCCTCATTGTCACACAAGTGAATATTATCTCGAGATGAAAATACTCAACATCAAAAACTTGTTCATCTACCACGTTGCAACATTCATTTTTAGATTTCTACGTCAGCAGTTGCCGGCATTTTTTAGAAACTTTTTCACTTTTGGAACTTCCATTCAAGCAAGAACTACACGCCACACGCCACTTTTCTATGCTCCACCAGCCAGAATTAAAGTACTCTGCATGAGTTTGAAACACACCGGCCCAGGAATATGGGAGACGATTCCACAAGAAATTAAAGATTGTAACACTTTGCATCTTTTTAAAAATAAACTGAAAAATTTTTTAATTACGAAAAGTTCTGTTTTTCAAGGATAATAATGTATATGTATATATATGTATATAAGTGTGTACATATTTCATTGACATTGATACATTTTCTCCTATTGACAATTTTATTTTATCATTGAGAAGCAATTTTGAGCTGCACGGTGGCCGAGCCCACAAGAATTAATTTTCTTTTTTTTGGTCTCCGAATCATTCATGCTTTTGTTTTGTTTGATTGAATAAAAGTGATTTGATTTGATTTGATTTGATTTGAAATATTTCATTATTTTGCTTAAAAATATTCAAATTAAAGAATACCAGCCCATCCGTGAAAACTAATAATAATAATAATAATATTTTTATTATAGTTATTATTATTATTATTACTATCAGGAGAGTCTATCTAGGAAGAGATAGGATAGAGAATACGGAAGTGGAAAGAAGTGAAGCCCCTGAAAAAAAGGCTGTCCGTCACAGGAGCTGCGTTCAAAAGACAGCATGAGAAGATTTTTAAACGAAGCGATCTCAGTCTGCAGGTGAAGGTGAGAATCTTCAAGGATTTTGTTAGATGGGCGGTGAGTGCAGAATCGTGCAGTTCAACACCTACTCTGGAGTATAAACTGAATGCAGCGGGAAACAGATGGCGGCGAAGAATCATTAGAATTAGTTATCAAGACCATATTTTAAATGAGGAGATCAGACTCGAACGGGTCAGCCACACATAGCCGAGGCGATGAATAAAATGGGCAGGACACACCGAATCACTCATCATCTCACGCATATGCAGCTCTCTCCTGGTCTAGTTTTGCCACACAACAACAACTTCAGCAGCTACAATCTCTCATCAAAAAACTAATTCGCTTTAACTACCTACCTGTATCATATACTACCGTCACTCAGATATTTAACACATTCGATTCAAGGCTGTTCTAGAAAATCGAAAATAACAACAACCACGTCATACATCCTCTACTACCATCAATCAAAACTACAACACACAACCATCGTCAGCGCAAACATAAATATCAAGTCGTCACCCAATCTACATACCAGGAAAAGACCTTCATCACAAGACACCTCAAACATATTAGCACTTAAGAAAACTTCATCATTACTGAACTAGTTTTTACTTATTGATCACCTCACTTTTATCGATCACCTCACTAACTCACCAAGTCATCATTTAGTCTATTAATAAGTCACCAAATATATTAATACTCATTAAAACTTTTTCACTCACAGGCCTAGCCTTCATTTATCGATCACCTCACTAAGTCATCATCTAGTCTATCAATTTGCCGTTACTTCATTTTATACTGGCCAGGATAGAGACCGTCGGAGAGATGCCGTGTGGAAATCAGTGACTACAGACAGCCGATGGATGATGATGATTATAATTATTATAATTATAATGATGCATATTATCGTCTGAAATAATTTTAAAAGTTTACTCCTGTATAAATATAAAGTAATTGAAAATAGATAAGATGGGAACATGAGTGCTGAGAAGGTAGGTAGGCAGGTAGGTGACACATCTTACAAGCTGCAATGAAACCAGTCAACATTTTAATGTAATAAAATGGGCCAAGTAATTAGGGAAATGTTTAGATATTGCTGGCTGTTGATGGTAATGTATGTGAAAGCGCGCGCACACGTACACACCACACAGACATACATACACACACGTACACACAACACAGACATACACACCACACAGACATACATAAACACACACCCCACACACAAAACACACTCAAAGACACACTAAGTACGCAAAATGATTGTAATTGGGAACAATCAAATTATTCAATATGTTTGAGCACAAACACTTCATTTTAAAATTACGTAGAATCAAATAAGAAATTAACAATCAACCAGCTCTCATATCAATGGTATTCATACCAGTAGTGTTCTAAACAACGTCCTATCGTTAGCAGTGCAACCAGAGAATGAAAAATGGAAACCTTCTCTCACAAACTTGATACCAGAAAGCATCCAAAACAGAAAAAAACTGAAGTTATAAAATAGTTTTAGCAGCAACCATTCACACACACACACGCGCGCGCGCACACCACACAACAAAAACATAGTCCACATAAACATCGGCGTCGAAAAATCTTTCAGGCTGCCATCATTGTAAACACCAACAACAAATTAGGTATCGCAACATTAACACCAGCATTAATAAACAACAACAACAGCAACAATATCAGCAATAACACTAGCAGCAATAACAATAACACCAGTCATCTCAACATCAACATTCACAACAATTTTATTTATCACCGGGCATAAAGAGAATGATAGAATTAATTATCATAACGACATAAAGAGGAATGTGGTGAGCCCAACGTGCCTCCCGTTCAACTTGTTTTGTATACAATTGCAACGTAAAAATGCCATATGACATGACTATAGATGCCCAAATAACATTCAGGAGTTTATAAACAAAGCTGTTATATATAACAAACTGTGTAACATTCAATTATATGGCATCTCGTACAACTGATTTATTAATAACTAATCCCAATATAACACGATATATATCATCCATTACAACATGATATTTAACGTCCAATATGACATGATATAAAACATCCAATATGGCTCTTTGGCTACTGGCCGCACACACACAAAGAAAAGAGAAACTACCCCATAAATATTTTTCCTACTTAATGCTAATAATGTCCACTTTTCTTTTTCAACATCATTCAAAAAAATTTGCAAATAAGAAATTGAACATTGCGCGTTTATGCGCACTGCACATAGGTGTTAGAATGTTTTGTCAATGCGTTATGCGTATCCTGAATGCATGTTTGAATGTCTCATAAGTGAGTTTGAATGTTTCATGAAGCATGTTTGAATGTGTTTTGTCTGAATGTTTGACGAATGCATATCGAAATTTCATATTAATGTTTTTTCAATAATAGGCTTGTTTAAGAGGCATTCTTCAAAGGACATACCTGAAAAAATTTTGTACTAATCTTGGCCTCATAAATTCATGATTTATTTCATTTTAAATCCACAAAGTATTATAGTATATAAATATTTAATTATCTTACTATCTAATTATCTAACTATATATCTATCTAACTAACCAACTGTCTCTAAATGAAAGCTCACATTTTGTATTATGTCTATGTAAAGCCTAAATGTCTATGTATATTTTTTAGTAATTCAACATTCACGCTATTGAAAGTGGTCTAGTTAGCATTTGCTGCACATAACATGTAAAATTAATCAAAGGAAACATGAAGTTAACGTAGATTGAATTCATTTGAACCACTGGAAAATACAATGGCAAACATTTTGTTACGAAACGAGAAGCGTAAAATATGTTTGATTGAAAATTTGCACTTTATTTTTCCAGCAGGTTTATTTTCAATCAAAAACACAGTAAATGTTAGAGAGATCTCTGAGCAATAAATGCTAGGTGACCACAATTAAAGTAAAAAAACCTACAGTATTTTCACATAAAATGTTTTAGGTAGTATCATCAAACAATAAACCAGTTTAATTAATTAAATTAAAATCAGTGAAATAAAACGTTATAAGCCTTAATACCAAGTTTCATTTTGAGTCATGTTAATAATTTTATTATTAAAAAACTGCATGTCTGTAGGATATTCAATGTATTTATTTAGTTCATTATCAGTCAGTAATTTTTTAACTTTCTACCAACAAAGTTATGTTAATGGTATTGGTGTCAATATAAGAGCCAGAATATCTGAAAACTTGTATAGGATAGTTTAGAGTCTGCTTCTATTTTTTTGTAATTTTTCACGAATTTATTTTCTCATTACGTAAATAAGTGGATGCAAATTGTAAATAATTAGCGCGCCAGACCGAAAAGTGCGACGCTCTGATGCGAGTGAGTGACACGTGGTCACAAGCGTTTATTGACGGGCTGATGTGTGTGTGTTGTATTGTATATACATTTGTATTTGAATGCGATATTATTATTATCACGGGAGTTCATTTTTTATAGGGCTTCCAAAACGTGATCTGGGACAATTATAAACAGCATGCTTGATTTTTTTAGGCACTTGATCAGTTGGTGGCATACGGATGTCTGATAGGGACATGTTCCTCAGGCTACGAAGATTCATCAGCAATCAAATCGGAATATTTCCTAGCCTCTTACGAAGTCGGAATCCAATTGACGACCAATCTTAATTTTAATTCTTCTCAAACAACAGGTACCAAAAGTCAAAACGGCACGTCATCTTTCTTTTTTTGTATTACTTACATAGTAATTTATTCAGAAAAAAATTTTCACAAATGAGGTCATTGTTTGCCATAAATTTTGAGTCATTCGTCAAACGTGAACCAACGACAATTGTAGAGGAAGGAAGCAGCATGTAAACATTTGGTGCGGGGAGCGACCCCATTGAAATCAACAGCATCTATTTCCCCTGTTTCATCATTCATTTTTGCCAACAATTTTAATTATTTAGATAATTTTTGCACGTTTTCTGGAAGATTTTCAAAAATTTTCAAAGTAATATATATGCACATTTAAATAAAGACTTGAGAGCGTTACGTGGGTGTAAAGAAAAACGTACCCTGCATACACGATATAAATATTTTACAAGACCACCAACGTTTTAAAAAAATTTCTTGCAAAAAATCCCACTGGACCCGGTGCATTTTAAAAAGTTTTGGAATTATTAGATTAGATATTTTAATTTGTAAAGATAATTTTTATTTATTTTATACAAAATGTTACAAAAATAATCACACTTCAATAAATTACATAAATTGTATTATGTGTTTCAGCACTTGGTCCATCTGAATAACTAAAAAAAAAACCTTAAAACAAGATGAACTCACTGGAAAAATTGATTTATTATTTGTTCCTAAATTTTATATTTCCTTAAATGTTTATAAAGTTTATAATAAATGTAAATAAGTAAAATAAAAATTTGAATAATATAAGCATACTTTTATCTCAGCGTAGCTTATTTTTTTCATGTATTTTTGTGTTTTGCTCTCTCACACTGACACTTATGAAATATAAAACAATTTTTCAAATTTGCACATTAACGTAA